CGAACTGCTTGACCTGCGCCTTGAGTGCCGCCTTGCAACCTGGATCTTTGGCCGGGGACAGCGCCTGCTGCAAGTGTGTAAGAACAACCATATTAGCCTCGCCAACCGTACTTCTGAGAAAGCTACCGAAGCACGGTTGTCTGCATTCTAATTTCCCTCGCTTGCATCACCATCACCATCAACGCAAGCGGCCTTACGCAATATGCATTTAGCAAGCTCCGGCGGTGCGGACAAAAAAGGAACTTACGACAACCACTGCACTTCTGACCCCTCGCCAAACAAAAGATATCCTTGTAGTCAGTCTGATCACACACCATGCACGCAGTCCAGAGACGAGGCATGGCGAGAAAACCTCGGCCTAGCCAATTCCTGAGCAGACATAGGAACTCTGCAGTGGGGATGTCCCTCAAGCGCCACGGGAAGGTACCGAGGAGGGACTCGCAGCAAATTGCCTGAGCCCGAATGGATTGAGGGGAGGGAGGAGCGAGCGAGGAGGGAAGCAGGCAAAGAGAGGTCTGCCTCAGTCAGCTACACGCCAGAGTGATCTTGGGCAGAAATGACCTTTGGTGCGCTTTGTCAGAGGGGGGCGCGGAGGGGGCAACCCCAGCGCACAAGCCGCTGCCATCGCATCGCATTCGGCGATCGGGGGGAGACCAGTCGAGTGTTGCTAGACGTGGCCCTGGCCCACGGTGACCACAGCTTTCCAGGATGCAGATGGTTGCCAGAGCACCCCTCACGGCCCCAGTACTCCAACAATGGATTAACAAAATGCGAGCATCTCGGGCCAGGACCACTTCTAGCACCACCCGATCCAGTGGGGCCGCACCAAAGGTCACTCCGACGAAAGGTCACTTCTACGCGTAGCCGCCGACTAGAAGGGCGAGACTGGCTCTCTCCGTTCGGGCCGACCAGACACCACATGGAGAAGGGAGGCCAGACAGGACACTCCTCCCATGAGGACTGCCTCAGTGGGAGAGACTGGTAGGGAAGGACGTACGCGCCAAGCCACACACATACATGTCCGAGGCCAGCTTCGTGTTACGAACGTTTGTACAACAAGTCTCTCAACTGACGTGAATTCACGCACGCGTGCAAAATATCATCGAACCAGAACTGGCTCTCTCCGTTCGGGCTGGCTAGGCACCCTATGCCGCTGTCGTCTCGAATTGGCGACATATCGCTGAGGCCTTCGATAACAAGACCGCAAAGTCCTGGGCGGAGCTGGGCGGAAAGGGCTATCGACTCGCTATCGGCGATGAACGGGCGACTGGGCGTCGATGCATCCTCCGTCCCCCCGGAGCAAGTCCCCCCTGAAATATCCCCTGCATAGCCGCCGACAGAGCGAGGGTGACTGGCTCGCCGTTCAAGCTATCAGGGATCTTCTGACCTAGGTCAATCCAGACCCGGGTCAGTCAAACCTTGCAGAATCCTGCAAGATCCTGCAAGATCCTGCACCCAAACCCCGGGTCGATGCGAAAGATCCTGCAAGATCCTGCAGGATCCTGCACCCAGACCCGGGTCAATGCAACCCTGGCCCTGTAGGATCCTGCAAGATCTGGCGCTCTGGCTGACCCCCGCTTGCATTGACCTTCGTCTCTCGAGCCCCGAGACTGGCTGGGGCACCATATGCCGCTGTCGTCCCGCTCCTGCAAGTACTCGGTGGGCTGCCAGTCGACCCTCATGCCCTCCTCGAAGTGCAGGCCGACGGTTGGCGGCGCGCGGCAGCGGGCAGGGCGAGGGTGCTCAGGATCAGTCAGCATCGAATCGGGAATTCGGATTCTAGATCCTCCTGCTCGATCCTCCTCCTTATCCTCCTCCTCGGTCCTCTTCGATCAGCCAACACCGAATCAGGAGTCAACTGGACCTTCTCCAACTGAACCAGGCGTCGCCCAAGAGAAGGCGAAGTCCAGTTAGAGGCTCACCCGTTGGAACCCTTTGGCTGCAAATGGACTCACTCCAGCTGGACTTAGCGTCGACCGATGCACCAGATCGAACCGAAAAGCGCGTCGGATCGAGCTGCATCGGCACGGAATCGAAATCGAAACACCGTTCGGCCGATCCGTCGTCATCAAGTCGCGAGATCGGGGCTAACTGACTTGTGCGTCGGATCGGGCCGCGTGGGCACGGAGTCGAAACCATATCAAGTTTCGGCCGCGCCAGGATGCGCAACGAAGCCACGCGAAGATCGGGCCGCATCGGATATTCGGAATGTCGGGATCGAATCGGGTCGGGACGGCCGACAACACTATTGAGCGGCATCGGTAGGGAGGGACTGGCTCAGGGGGGAAACGTCGACCTGGTAGGTCCTCGATAGCGAAGCCGCACGACCCTGAGCAGGGTGGGCTGTCGGGCCCCCGTCGGGGATCGATGCACGATTGGGGGTCATCCATCTTCTGAGCCGATCCTCCCCTGGGGTTACCCCTGAGATGTTTTGCATGAGCGAGGCGGGTCCTGCCCCAAGACGGCCCAAGAGGGCTCGAAGGCGGTCCAAGAGGCGCCCACGACTGTCCAAGACGGCCCCAAGAAGGGCTCCAAGAAGGGCCCATACCAGATGGCCCTAAAGGGCCCCATGAGCCCCAACTACTGCCTCACTGGAGACTGAGAGGGCCACACGACGGCCCGATCGAATCCCATGAGGACTCCTAGTGAAGACGAAAGATGCCACATGTGACGGCATTTCTCCTCCTCCTCGGCATGTCTCCTCCTCCTCATCTTCCTACTACTCCTCCTCGTCCTTCTCCTCCCACATGATCACCACCACCACCATCATGATCATCATCAACATCATCATCAGCACCACCATCCTCATCACCACCACCACCACCATCACCATCATCATCATCACCACCACCATCATCATCATCATCAGCAGCAGCAGCGGCAGCAGCATCATCATGTTCATGATCATGATCATCATGATCATCATGATCATCATGATCATCATCATCATCACCATCATCACCATCATCATCATCATCATCATCATCATCGTCAGCATCATCATCATCGTCATCATCATCAGCAGCATCATCATCAACATCATCATCATAATCATCATCATCATCATCATCATTATCATCATCATCAGCATCATCAACATCGCCAGCATCATCAGCATCATTATCATCATCGTCATCATCATCAGCAGCATCAGTATCATCAGCATCAACATTAGCAACAGCATCATCATCATCATCATAATCCCCATCAGCATCATCATTATCATCGTCATCGTCATCACCACTACCAACACCAGCATCATCATCAACATCAGCATCGACAACATCATCGTCATCATCATGAATCACGGCTCCCCCAGGCCTGGGGTCAGGATGTGTCACACGTGATGGCCTCCCGCGCCCACTCGAACAATCGCCACGCAGAATGCAGGGCTGGCACGTTACCGGGACTTGCCGCAGGCAACTGGATACCGAATCGAATCGATCTAGTCGAAATGCACCTTGGAACTGGAGGCGACATGCTACCAGGACACACTGAAAATCGGCATGGCCTGTGTTCTTCCTCAATCTGGACGCCTGGCCCGTTTGGGGCTAGACCTCGGTAAAACACATCCAGGGTGAAAAACTGGCTCCCGGAGAAGGGGGCGACATGGCTCTTGGGGGGCGTTTGACCCCTTTGAGCGGCGTCTAGAGGTTGTATGATGGTGCTGGGTGCTGGTGTTGATGACGATGCTGGTGATGACGATGACTGAGAGGAAGATGAGCGTCCTGTATCGATCGATAATTCGCCGCTCTTTTCCAGTAGGGAGTTTCAGGAACGGCCTCGCCTTTGGCGCACCTCGCATTCGGTGGAAGCGGGCGGAAGATAGTGTTCTAATTCAGATTCTGGCAGTTTTGCTTGCGTGGCATTTTACCTCCCCCCTTCGGTTCCCTGTTCATTCAGTGCTGGGCCATAAGGGCGTGCAAGTAACACTCGCCTTGCGACATGTCAAGCTTTCCCTTCGGGGCTGACAGCCCTCCCCCACCATGCAAGCGTGCCAGAATATTGTAGACAGCAAGCTCCAGATCCTGGGACCCAGGTCCCCACAAATCGTGACGCTGGAAGTCTGGGCGAGAAGATATCAGGAGGCGCCCCGCCTCTTCGAAGCCGCCCTGTATTCTAAGAAGCCCTTCATGGGAGCCTCCGAACTGCGTCCAGCCGTGGAGACGAGGCGCTCCAGAAACTTCCAGAAACCAGCTTCGACACGACACAGACACTGACCTCGTCGTCGCCGTCCACTTCGCCGTTGCCCCCTGGCGCTCGCCGCCAAGATGGGCGGGAAGTCCGCAGGACCTCGGCCAGCGTCCTGCAGCTTCCAGCACTCCGAGCCCTCGGCGTTCACCACGTCTATCTTCTCGGCGGCGCAACCGCCGTGGTCGGCGCAGTAGGCGGCGATGTTCTTGATGATTCCGTCGTACAGGGGCACGGGGAAATACCTCCAAGAATGTGGCTAGAAGAGAAATCGGAATAAACATGCACTTTTTCGGAAGACGCGCGGAGCAGCGCCAGAGGAGAGGCCAGGGGGTCCAGCGCCGATTCAAGAAGCCTGCGAGGTCCTCCGATTATGTATGCAGTATGTGCTGCTTCTTCAGATGAATTCATCCATTTCTGGGTCTCCTAGGAGGACCTCGTGACCACAGCAGTGCGGCTCGCTCGAGAAGCTGGCCGGAACGGACCCTGGGAGGGGCCCGACGGACTGGTTATGAAGAACAATTGATCGTGGCTGGGGTGGATCAGTCCGGCTCAACGCAAACCCAGCTCAGCCAAGTTAGAAAAAACTGCTCTGATTTTTTTGTTGGGGGGGCTTCCCAAACAAGCTCGGCAAATATGCGCGGCCACCTCCAGGGCCGCGCGCGGCCCCCAAACCCGGCTCAGCCCGAAACTGGCTTTGCAGGATCCTGCAAGATCCAGCGCTCTGGCTGAGCCCCGTTTGCGCTGAACCCTGCTACCTGCGGGCTGACAAGGCTGGGGTGGCAGGGGCCCGACGGTACGTGTAGGTCGTACCGCTGTCCACGATCGTCACGCCGAGGTTCCTCTGGCCCCAAGCCACCGCCTCGCCCTCTGGGTCCTTCACGGGGCCCACGGTGAGCCCGACGGGGAACACAAAGTGGTAGTGGGCTGGGCGCAGGCGCACCCACTGGATCTCTCCTCCTTTCCTGTGGGAGGTCCCGTTGTAGCCTCCGACGGTCAGACGGCCTCTGAGGGGGAATGAAAGCTCGGAGGCAACACCTTAAGCCCAGGGTTCAGCCCGAATGAACCAGAATCAACAAATCGGGATTGGGCCAGACTCAGCGGGAGTACTCCGAGTTACACCAGTTGAATCGGCGATGCATCGCCGATAGATCGGCGATGGGCCCCCGATAGCGGATACGCACGTTCGCCGGCGAGGTGGGGCGATGGGGGCTCTACTGTCGGCGATCAATGGGCGATTGGGATCAATGCATCCCCCCCCCTCTTCAGCCAATGCCCCCATGACGTTGCCCCTGAGACCTCCCCACTCGGACAAACACATGGAAAAGATGCTGGTCTTTACGTGCTGCTTGTCCGCAAACAACTGCGTCAGGATAGTCGGGGAGCCGGTGTCGCCGAGGCCGCCCGGGGCAAGGCCCATGATGCCGTTCGCGCGCTGCGAGTAGAAGAGCCTGTTCTCCTTCATGTGGCACCCCAGTCTGACCTTGACTGCTGGATTCTTCTGCTCAAGGTCGCCGAGCTCGATGTCGTCTTCGAAGAAGTACCCCGACACCGAGCTGCCCTCAGAATATGTCTCAGAGTACGCGCAGTGCCCCTCGACACAGCCAGTGGAGCAACTGGTATCAGATTCGCAACCGACCCATGAGGCGCTGCTAGACCTAGAAGAACGAACACAACATAATAAACACAAGCTTTCTGAGGTCGGCGCGGATCATCTGGGGCGCCGCTGGACTCCATCGCCTTGCGGGCGATCAGTGCTAGCGGGGGCGCCGCCCCAGGGGAGGGGGTCCAGCGCCGACCTAAAAAAGTGGCAGGGACCTCCGAAAGCTCGTGCTTTGGAAACTGTGTGTTTCTTCGAAGACCGGGAGAAATCGAAGGCCTTATCGATGTGGCTCCCGCAATGCTCGCAGCCGGTGCATGGGAACCCAACGAGCCGGCTGCCGGTGTCGACGATCACCGAGGTGCGCTGGTTTGCAGGAGTTCCGACCTCGGGAGGGGGATCGCTGACCACCGCCATGGGGCATCCGCAGCCCGTTCTTTGCCTGGATCTCCTGTTTCAGCCAACTTCGCGCATCGCGCACCGCGATGCTCAGCACGCGGTTCTGTTCGCGCCACGGTAAGGCCGCCCCGGAGCCTTGGAGGAGGGCAGCTCTCCGGCCCAGGCCGCGACGCCCAAAGGGCGATTATCATCGCGCCCCCGCGGCTGACCCAGGAGATCAAACCCCGTCGGGGGTGGACAGAAGCCCCAATAAGACAAGAACCCTTTAGTGAAAACGACCCAGGACCACAGCTTGCAACCGCAGGCAAACCCCCAAGGAAAATGTGGCCGCAACGCTCTCGAGAACCGAAAAGGGCAATTCGCTAATCGACTTGGCGAGGTGGGCATTTTATCAACCTCCGCTCCAATTAAGACTAGACTGGGAGGCAATACCTACCAAAACCTGTCCCCTCTGCCCTCCCCCGTCCGTCTCCGAGATTGGGACTCGGTTCAGGGACGCGCCCCTACTCCAAACGGTCGATCGACCCTGCGCAGCAAGACTCCCCTTGGGGCCTTCGGGGGAGGAGGAGGCCCATGCGACCCACAAATCCATGAAGTCCGCCACCGCGCTTGCAGCGTTTGGTGTGCGTTGGGTCCTTCCGCCTCTTGCGCATCAAGAATTTGGGCCCCCCCGACACATCGAACCCAAAGTGCTATCACCTGTGTTGCCAAGTCCCTGCGTTTATGGCTCCAAATACAAAATCTGGTGATGCGGGGCTCGTGGCCCCGCCCCCCAGGCAAAGGCGCCATCCCCCCACTCGCCCGCCCGAGCGCGGTGGCGGAATCGCGCGACAGCGCAACTGGATAATACCCATACTGAGCCACGTTGCCGTATAGGTTCGCAGACTCGACCTTGCCCTCCTCGTTGTACGGCGCGGTCGCGAGGGGACTGTGCGCACAGAGCCCGAGAACCTGATGGGCACAAAACGCCGCACCGCGTCGGCTCGTCTGACGACCCCTCGGCCTGGCCTCGGGTCGTCATCGGTCGTCGAGGGGGGAGGAGGCAGATGGATGGGGGACGGAGGAGGGAGTACGGAGGCGAATACAGGTGGGGAGCGGGGGAGGGGGGCAGCAGGCAGGGGAGAGGGAAAGAAATGGGGGGAGGGGGAGAATGGGGGAGGAAGAGGTTTACGTAATCCCACCAGCCCTCTGGGCGGAGGTGGTCTAGAGCGTTTCCGTTTCCAACCTCCCTGATATACCTCCCCCCCCTCCTTGGGTCTGGACGGCGCGGGCCCGAGGGGTTAGAGGGTCCTTTTTGGCCCAAGATGGCTCCAAGAGGGCCTCAGAGAGCGCAAGATGGCCTCCAAGATGGCCCAAGATAGCTCAAGATGGCTCAAGATAGCCTCCGACACACATCCAAGAGGCCCCAAGGCTGCCCCAAGACGGATCCAAGTGCCTTTCGAGCCTTCAACGGCACCCTCCAAGATGCCAAAATCCTTCAAAAGCCTAGGGAAAATCAATGTTTCAGGCATTCTCGCCTTTTCGCTTCCGATGGGCTTTGGCATCCTCAACATGGCCCCAAGTTGCCCCAAGAGAGCCCCAAGAGGGGCCCAAGAGGGCCCCAAGACGGCCCCAAGAGCGTCCAAGAACGCTCCAAGAACGGCCCAAGACGGCTCCAAGACAGCATTTGTGAGCCTCCGAGGGGGCGACGGGAATTGGACTTCCCCTTCTTTTTTAGCCATGGGGCCCAAGACGGCCCCAAGAGGCCTCCCAAGCCTCCCCAAAGAGCCCTAAAGAGGGCTCCAAGACTCCCCAAATGAGCCCCAAGAGGGCCCCACGAAGGCCCCAAGAGGACCCCAAGAGGGCTCCAAGATGGCGCCAAAATGGCATTACGACGCTTCGAAGAAACCCTCACCACAATATATCCCCTAAGCCCGACTTCTCGTCCTCCTTGTCATCGTCCCCTCCTCCTTTTCTATTTGTCCTCCTCCTCCTCCTCTTCCTCCTCCTCTTCCTCCTCATCTTACCCCCAAGATGGTCCCAGGCATCGCCAGCACCAGCAGCACTATCAGTAGCACCAGCATCAACACCAGCAGCAGCGGTACCATAAGCACAAACTACAACGACAACACCAACGATACCAGCAGCTACAGCCCGACACCTTTCGCTACAAGAGCTCTCCCAATTCACCGGTGTTGCCAATCAAGCCGCCGTGGGACATCCGCGCCTTCCTTCCTCCCTTCCCGCCTCCTCCCTCCTCCTCCTCTTCATCCTCCCCGTGCCGCTGTCCTGCTCTTCCTCCTTTTCCCCATCCTCCTTCTGCTTTTTTCATCCTCCTCCTCCTCCTCTTTCTCCTCCTACCCCCAAGATGGCCCCAGCAGCAGCACCACCAGCAGCAGGAGCACCACAAGCAGCAGCACCAGCAGCAGCACAAGCACCAGCAACAGCAACATCAGCACCAGCATCAACAACAGCAGCGCCAGCAACAGCATCATCAGCAGCACCGGCAGCAGCACCAGCACCTGAGCAATTTCGAAACGCACGTGAGTTTAAGATACAAATCAGTGCAAGGGTTAAGATCAAGGATGTCCATCGAGATGCGACTCTAATCTGCGCGGCGCTGGCGTCGGATCGTAGATACAGGAACCTGCGCCAGAGACGCTTACCAAAGGGAGCACCATGGCGCATCTTGCACTGATTTCTGTCTTAAACTTCACTGCGCGAAGGGCCTTATTTTCTGGCCCAGGGTACGGCCCACCCTGTTGTGACGCTTCCAAAACAGCTGTGCGACCGCGTGCTTCCAGGCGCCCCTGATTGACCAACTCACCTGGTAATCGTTTCTGGATGGACGTTTACCACAGGGAACCTCACGGCGTATCTCACACTAATTTCCATATCAAACTTCAGTGGGGGAAGCTATGTGTGATCCTTGTTTTTCTGGCCCGAGGTACGGCCCCCCAGTTTTGAGAACAAGAATGCCTGTGCGCACGGCGGTGTCTATGTGCAGCTTCTGCGCTCCTTCCAACACGATGTCGGATCGTGCATACAGCAACCTGCGCCAGAGACACTTACCACAGAGAACACCACGGCGCATCCTGCACTGATTTCTGTCCTAAACTTCACTGCGCCGAACTATGTGTGATCCTTGTTTCCTGGCCCAGGGTGCTGCCCACCCTGTGTTCACGCTTCCAAAACAGCTGCGCGACCGCGTGCTTCCAGGCGCCCCTGACTAACCAACTCACCTGGTAATCGTTTCTGGATGGGCTGGTGGGGATACGCGAAGCGCCAAGATTACGGCAACACGGGGGAGCAGGAGGAGGTGGAGGGAGGGGGAGAAGAGATGTGGGGGGGGGGGTACGAGAAAGATGGAGAAGGACGGATGCAGGGAGGATGAGAGGAGAGAGAGGATAGACAAGGATGGATGGATGGTGTGCTCCCTTTGAGCTGGCGGCGGAAGCTTCGGACGAGACTTCCTTTTAGCAAGGGGCCACGACCCGGGGAGGGTTCGGAAGCGACCTTGCTGCGACGGCTCTGGAAGACAGATCGCCAGCTCTGAAGGGGTCGAGGGGAGGGTTGGTAAGAGCTGTGCACTTTCCAAGACCTGCGCGGAGCCAAGAGGGCGGCGCACAGAACCGACCCTGGAAAACCGTGCAAGCCTTTGAAAATTCCCACAGTTCCAACAAGGACCTCCGCCCGAAACCCCGGCCAGGGCGAAGCAGAAGAGGCAACTCAGAGACTCCCCGCCATATGTGGGGGGGGCCAGGCAGGGAGCACCTGCCTGGGGCTCGTCCGATCCCCCCACGCTGCCTGGTCGACGTACCCCGCAGGTACGGGACGGTGACAGGAGGAGGGAGAGGAAGCCACCCCAGGGAGGGGAGGATCCAGCCCGACCCGACCCGCCTGCCAGGAGACTGGGGGGCGAAAGATGCCGAAGCCGAAGCTTCCAAAACCAGACCAGAATTTCCAGGCGAATCCTGCCGTGACCACGACGAGACCCCAAAAACGAGCAGCGGACCAGGAAACAACCCCCTCAGTGCCCCGGGCAGAGGGGAGGGAGGGCGGGAGCACACGAGGGCAAGGAGGGAGGCGGGAAAGGGGATGGGCAGAGACCCCCAGGACCGAAGGCACAAGTTTTCAGAGCTGCCACCGGACAGGGCGACAAGGGATACCCCAAGAGCCGAGGAACGGGGACGCGATCAGGACCCCCGACGGAACACCCAGGGCCTCCGAAGGCCCGAAAGGACCTCCAGGACCTCCAACGGCCTGCCCCCACGACGACTCGAGGACTCCCGGCGGCCAATGGCAGCGGCCTCGGCGCCCCGATGCGCGCTCCAGGGCCTGCTTGCCAGCTCTCCCTCACACGGCGGCACGAGGGAACGCGGCGGCCCCCTGCGACGGCAGCGGCGACCCCGACGACGACGACGACGACGACGACGACGACGACGACGACGACGACGACGACGACGACGACGACGACGACGACGACGACGCCGAGGCGACGACGACGACGACGACGACGACGACGACGACGACGACGACGACGACGACGACGACGACGACGACGACGACGACGACGACGACGACGACGACGACGACGACGGGGGGAGAGGGCACCCCAACTGGCCTCGGTGGGGCTGCCGCGGCCGGCATGCCTCCGAGGGCTGGGCTTCGCACTCTCCCAAGGAGCACGCTCCTGGGCCAGCTTGCCAGCTCTCCCCCACGCGGCGGCACGAGGCCACGCGGAGGCCCCCAGCGGCAGCGGCGGCGACCCCGACGACGACGACGACGACGACGACGCCGACGCCGACGACGACGACGACGACGACGACGACGACGACGACGACCGACGACGACGACGACGACGACGACGACACGCGGCGGCCGACGGCTGCGGAAGCGGCGGCAGCGGCACGACGACAGGGAGGGAAGAGCGAAGGCAGGGAAGGGACCGAGGAGGAGGAGGAGGAGGGGAGGGCGGCCTGGCCCCGGCGGACCCGACCCGCCCGGCC